ATAGCGCTAGTCACATGGAGCCCATCACTGAAGCGATGCTGAGAAGAACCCTCAGGATAGGCCCATCGCGTTCACATGGAGTTTGGGTGTTACATTTCTGAATTTGCATATAACACTGATAACAGAGACTGGACTCTCCTAAATTGTCTCACATATCTTGAAAGACATGTACAATTTACTTCTGATAGCAAAGATAATATCATTGGTGCATTTGAGAGAACATTTGACGAAATCAGTAATTCAACTTCTTTACTATCAGGAATAAAGAAGAAGGCACAAAAGTTGGCCAGCAAGGTAGAAGAAAAATTTCAAAGAAAAGAAATTGTCGATTTTTTTAAAGTCCTGGATAGCAAATTCGAAATGGTAAGCAGCTCATGGTTTTATATAAACAAGTCTCATAATAATTGGTTTCTATACTTTTATAGAGGCAGGGAGAGCATGATCTGGTGAATTTCTTTGATAAGAGTGGGCGTGAACTTCTGAAAATGTCTGGCAACTTCAGTAAAGTGAAACTCACAGCTTGATATAGGGAAAAAACAAAAGAAGTACTTTCAGAAGTATGATCAATAGTTTATTTGTGCTTTTTGAGTCAGGTGTTAAACTAAAGGTCATAACTATTTCACTTTAACATTTAGGGTGAGTTGGCTACATCAGTGTCAAATCAATATGATCTAAGAAAAAAGCAAAGAAGGATATTCCCATCAGAACTTGATCAAGAATTATTGTCAGAAAATTATCAGGCAGAATCTGTTAATGCCTCAGAGATTGAGTATGGGGTAATTTTAATTTAAAATAATTTGCTAATGTATTTTATATTTCTTTCTGTGCTAAATGTTGAAGTTGTTCAGATGTTGAGACATCTAGAGGCGAAAGCTCATTTAGAAAATTACAATATTGTCTGCCTTTTTGATGTTGAGTTTCCATGGACAAAGAGAATCTTCAAGATATTGTCAATGGCTCAATTAGACATGTTAAGGAACAAATGGAGAGATGTAAGCTCACCGAGCTTTGTATACAGGTTAATCATCCTTTTTTATTAATAAGGCCCAAGCATTCATTAAGCAAGAAATAATCGAAGAATGTTGGAATGCAAGTTCTGTTAACAAACTGGTGGACGATTATCATGAAGTCATTGAAGAAAATGTAAACCATGACTCGTTCTATACCGATTATAATGCACTTGTAACGGCTTTTACAAAACAGCAATTCGACAATTACCAGCATAAAAAAAATTACTAGTTATTTTGGTGTCAGGGTTTTTATACACAAATGTAAGAGAGAATGTGTGATGTTTCGTTTACCTCCTTATAGTTACTAATAAACTGTGTGATCCATTCTATCTCAGGGCTTTCCAGGTGTTGCGTAGACGTAGTGCTTTGTTAGGCAGCAGCGCAAGTGAATTTCAATATAGGGATGAAATTGTTAACCCTCTTTTGTCGTACATTTTTTATGACGTTGAAGATGCGTTATGGATAAAAACGTAAGCGTTTCTATGGAAGCTTGTCACATTTGTGTTATGTTAATATCAACGGTGATTAGCGGTGAAATTGAAAACAGTTCACAAAAACGGCAACACAACTTTTCCAGATTAGAAGATGACCTAAAAAATTTGAGGATAACATGATGGTATCCTATACATGAACGTAAATGGTGCAATGGTTGAGGTTGGATTTATTGAAGTAGTGGGCAATGCGTTTAATACCTGCGTATCCGACAAGAATGATGATTAGAGAAATTATTAAATGGTAATATTTGTAAATCCAACTAGTTTGTGAAACATGATGTTTACTGATCTTCTAATATTGTAGCAATGATGATATCTATCTGGTCTCAGAAAGCCCATCAATCTGGCGGAAATATCTTAAATTTGCAATCGTTTTCTATTCTTGTATATGATAGGTTAATACAAGTCCGATGTTTTAATCAAATTGTTAACTAGCTTGTTGGTTCCGGACAGGACGTGAATTCCATTTTTAAGCATGCATTTGATTGATGAAAAGTATGTTGTTGACGAATATGATGCCTTCGTTATCCCCGATGATGAGCAAATTCTTATTTTTTTTTTCATTATCAGTCATTTTAGTATATTGATATCATAACTAATTATCTTATAAGTAATTTATAAGTAATTATTTTTGGTTACCAGTATAAATTGGTTGTGGACAAGTAACATTTTTGAATTCGTCTCTGACAAATGGCCGAATATTATTATAAGGATATTCTTGTCTTTTGTAATCTAAAGGGGGAGGAGTTAGCACAAGAATGGAAAAGAATTTAATTTCTTTGATAATTTCGGAAACACTTGCTTTTCTAGTTTTCAACAAATTAAATTCAGTAAAAGTACCATTAGCAACCAACTGAGCTTTGACAATTCCAGGGTTAGCTGCTTCGAATACAAAATGTTGATATTTTTGTAAACCACTTAATTTTTTAA